CAGGGCAGGGGACGAGCCGCAGGGGGGCCACGTGCAGAGCAGACGGCACCTTTTTCTCTGGCCTCGAGTGCTCTCCATTGGGGTCCCTCATGGGGTCCCGGGCAGGGCCTCCATTCCTGGCCCTGCGTCGGTCCCGGTCCCGGTCCCTGTCGCGCTCCCTGGCCCGCTCTTTGTCTCGCTGCGGCCGCTCCACTGTGCGGTCCCTGTGGGCCCGCTCTCGCTCCGGTCTGGCCCTGCCCCTGCTCTCCTTCTCGGGGGGCTCGCGGGGCCGCGCTCGCTCCTTGTCCCGGGGTGGGCGCTCTTCCCTGGGCTCCGCCGGGGGTCTCTGCTCGGGGCCGGGGCTTTCCTCTGTCCCGGAGTTCCTTCTCTCCTGGAACCCACACACCTCTGGGGTCAGACCCGCGCTGCCCAGCCCCGCAGGACCCGACCAACCGAGGACCCTGCTCGCTCACCTCCTTGTCCTTGTGCGGCCGGGGGGCCCCATCCTTGAGGCCCTTGTTATCTGTCTCCTGGGACTTGGCGGCCCTGCCTTTCCAGTCGCCCCGCTCTCCAGCCAGAACTCTCCGCACAGCGTCCTCACTGGGGAGCTGGGTGTACCGTGAGGAGAGGCACAGGTGAGGATGTGGGGCCGACAGCAGTGCCCAGTCAGAGACCGCTCAGCACCCTGGGGTCTGCCCACCAGAGGCACTGGGGCAAACCAGCCACAGGTGAAGGACAGGGCCTGCCAGCGGCCATCCCCTACCAGCACATCAGGACCATCAACCGGGGTCCACCCCAGAGCACGCACTGGACTCCGCTCTACCCAAAGCCTCCAAGCCCTGCTGGCTGGCGCCCCGCTAGACAGAACCCCAGAACCCAGAGCCAGACGTTGGTGAGCTCGTCCCCCAGCCCCAGCAGCCTCCAGGCCTCTAAGAGCCGGGTCAAGAGACTCCCTGGATGTACAAGATGCCCCAGGCTGGGCGAAGTTGCCCTGTGGGCAGGCAGACACCCAGCTCTGGGTCTCCCTCTGGCCCTGTCCTTGCTGAGACAACCCCACCGTCATCCCTGGCTCCAGGCTCCCAGCACTGGGCCCCCCACCCCATACCTTGCTGAGGCAGCAGTGCCCCTGGCTCCCCGAGTATTGGGGTCCCCCACCCCATACCTTGCTGAGGCAGCAGCGCCCCTGGCTCCCCGAGTATTGGGGTCCCCCACCCCATACCTTGCTGAGGCAGCAGCGCCCCAGCATCTGCAGCAGCTCGTTGGTCCTCTCAGGCTCATGGCCAGCCACGATGCGTGCGGGCTTGGCGCTCAGCGGCTCCCCAGAGACCAGGACCAGCACGTCGATGGCCTTCTGCAGGAAGCCAATTTTGGCATCTTTATCCTGAAGGGTTTCCAGGGAAAACGTGTCACCCTCCTCCCAGCGCGCTCACAAGCAGCGCTGCCGCTACAGACAGTGCAGCCAGTGCGGCATGAGGAAGGTTGAGAACCACTGCTCTACACCCTCTATCGCCTGTGGATGGTGGGCAGAGGCCCCGAGATGCAGATGGACAGTGAGTTCTCACAGACGGAGGGCTGTCACATGGGCACCCCTACAGACAAGGGGGGGGGGCTCCCACAGACAGAGGCGGGTCCTGGTGCCAGTGCACAGCTGCTCACCCAGAGACTCAGCCGCCAGCCCAGCCCCCCAGGGCAGCGCACCAGCACCCACCTCAGGGTTTCCAGCCAGGGTCTGGATAGAACTATGGGGCAGCCCCACCCTCCAAGAGGACAGCACAGTCCAGGTAAGGTCCTGGGCCACCAACCACGACCCCGAAGGCCGAGGAATGGGGTGCCCACCGTACCCCGCAGGCCCACCTTCACGTTGTCGGACTTGAGTTCAGAGTCGCTGTACAGGCCCTTCATGAAACCAGTCGTGCGGATCACCTGTAAGCACAGCCCGGCATCAGATGGAACTCGGGCCACCACTGACCTGGCCAGGTAGACACACACATGCGAGGCCCCGTGCCGCACCCGCTCCACACAGCACGGTGAGGTACAGGCACCCACATCTTTCTGGCAGTGGGGGCTTACAGGAGTGGGGACAGGGGAGGGTGCGAGCTCAGCCTACAAACGTCATCCAAAACATTGATGAAAGGACAAGGGGGTAGGGGACCCCTGGGCATGTCGCATCGGGGTCTAGGTGCATTGGTGGCAGGCCTTTGGGCTTGCTCAGTCTCCCCTGAGGACCCCACAGCAGATGTGACTCCTGGGGGGCCAGACCCGGGCTACAGGAGGATGGGGGACGCCCCGGCGGCCCATGCAGACCCTCCCAGAACCAGCAGGTACACGATGGGGTAAAACTTGGCTGGCCTTTGCCACACCCACTCAGTTGTCAAGTTTTCTTAAAACTTTTTCCTGATTGGCCCGTGATCAGCCTGTGTCCCTTCACTGGAATCTGAGAACAAAGTGGTCGTAACCTTCCTGAGCTGACCATTGGCTTGGACTGGACGGGCCCCACAAAGCTGCTGCTTTCAGAGGACGCCGGGTGGCACAGACGTGTGTTGCTGAGACAGCTTGTCATGTTTCATTTGGAATGACCCCACAAAGGGGGCCCTGGGGCCCTGGCTGCAGTACTTTGTGACGGCCCCTGTATTTCAGAAGCATGGTTGAACCACAGAAGGTGCCCAGGGTGCAGGGAGACTGGAAGAAGTTCCAGGACATGAACCTGGTCCAGAAAAAGTACATGGAGGAAGGAGGCGGCTCCAGAACAATGAACTGTACCCGTGTGGTGCCAGTGCAGACTAAGAGGCCGTTGTTCCAACAGAGCCAGGGGACACCGCGTGGCTCACAATCCAGGAAGATGTGTGTCAGGGCCACGCTTACTCCATCTGCACGCTGGGCAAATAATCCCAGAAAGCCAAAACTAAACCCACCGGCAGCACATCCATTCCTGGAGGCTGACCTTTCTGAAGAAAAGTGTGGCATGGGAACTGGAGGAGGGCTTACTGAAGACACAAGCTCGCTTACTGAGAGCCAGGAGGACCACGGACGCGCTTCCTGGCGGAGAGGGAGACAACAGCCTTCAGGGCGGATGACACCTCAACGTCTAGAAAAGCAAAATCCTCACCAGGGGACCAGTGAGCCACTGCACAGGACACAGGCGAGACTGGAGCGGTCAAGGACCTCATGTCATTTGCATCTGCCGTCGACGCCCCTAGAAACAGCAGCCAGGAAACCCAGGGGCCATCGCAGCGGGCAAATCTGCTGCAAAAGACTCTTTAAAGGGTCGAGGTGCAGGGCTGGTGCGTTGAGGAGGACTGCACACCTGACCCAAGCCATGCATTTCCAATTGTCTCCTATGCTGGACAGTGAGTGAGCAGGATGCGAGAGCGGGTGCCCTGACTTAGGGTGCTGGCGCATGCGCTAAAAGCACAGCATCATCGCTGTTGTTAGGTGCCCTGGAGTCAGTTCCAGCTCACAGCGACCCGATGTCCCATGAAACGAACCGCCGCCCAGTCCTGCACCAGCCTCACAGTTGCTCTTGGGTTTGAGCCCGTTGTTGCCGCCACAGTCCATGTCCATCCATCTGGACACAGGAGGGTTTTCCTCCTTTTCGCTGCTAAGCCTGGTGTCCTTCTCCAAGGACTGGTCTCTCCTGACATGTCCAAAGCATGCGGCTGCGACGTCTCGCCATCCTTGCCTGAGAAGCAATCCGGCTCTACTTCTTCTGCGAGAGCTCTGTTTGCTCTTTGGTACTTTCTCTGACACCACGATGGTTCAACTGCACCGACGCTTCCTTGCTCGTCCTTACTCAATGTCCAACTTTCACATGCAGAGGAGGTGATTGAAAATACCACGGCTTCGGTCAGGCGCACCTTAGTCCTCAAAGGTAAGTCCTTATGTTTTTGCACTTTACAGAGGTCTGTGCAGCAGATTTGCCCAGTGTAATGTGTCCTCTGATCTCCTGACAGCTGTTTCCAGGAGCACTGATTGTGGATCCACGCAAGATGAAATCCGTGACAACATCCGTCTTTCCTTCACTTCACCGTGATGTTCCCTAAGAGTCCAGTTGTGAGTGGTGAGGATGCTGACTGCCTTTACGTTGAGTTGTAATCCATACTGCAGGCTGCAAGCCTTGATCTGCATCAGTAAGAGCTTCAAGTGCTCCTTACTTTCAGCCAGCCAGGCTGTGTCATCTGCCTATCGGTCAGTTGTGAGTAAGCTTCCTTTGACCCTGATGCGACATTCTTCTTCATGTGAGTACCATGAACTGCCAAAATAACGAACAAGTCCGTCTTACAAGAAGTCCCACCAGAACGTTCCTTAGAAGCACGGATGGAGAGTGACGTCGTCGTCTCATGTTCTTTGAACATGTCATCAGGAGGCACTACCAGTCCCTGGAGAACACACACACACACACA